AAAGTAAGGGGGGGAAAAAGGGAATTAATGACGCGAGATCAAGACAAGCCACAAAGTGGTTACTACTTACTACAATGAACCAAGCGAAGTAAATGAGATTTCGCCACACCAGCAATCAATGAGCGAAATTTAGTAGATTTATGTGAACAAAGCAAAACAAGTAAACAACATGATTGGGCAATTTCGATAATTTGATATTCATAAAATTGTATATCCAAGAAACAAAGTTTCATGTCACGTACTGGAAGTGAAATTCTCAATATACATAATTTTATTCAAAATGTTCTTCTCTGTTTTGAGGAATTAATGATTTTTATTGACACAATTATTACAGTATTACACAAAATTTCAACTTCCTTGGGCCCCAAAAAAAATCATATTTTCATGCAATAGTTTAAATTAAACCTTAAGAAATTAAGATATTACGTACCTTGCGGGTGAGGCCACTCGAACAGGGGTAAGATTACAATCATTACAAGAAGAAGCGAAAAGTGACTGCTTCTGAAGCTGCAGGCAAACGATATCATATCACTCGAATTATATAAAATCGGATACAGGTACACTCATACGAAGCCTTGATCTTGTAAATCCATTGGACGAATTGTAATGAAGGGAAAAATAAAGTGGAGAGGACGAAAGTGGTATCACACCTTGAGAGACGGAGGAGAAAAGTGTGAATTGTCGGCGAAGAGAGGAGAGAGAAGCGTCGAACGGGTACGCGACGGGAGGAAGAGGTGAGTCGGGGTGGCATGAGGACCAGCGAACACGGCGGCGCTCTCCATAGCTTCGTCCCCGACCAGAGTAACGCAGAGAGACGGGGAGAGAGTGTGTTAGAATTTTAGGTTGATTTTGATTGTTAGTTTTGGTCAAATTGGCTAGTAGCTTCACTAAATTACTTAATACGAAGAATTACACTTTGTACCCTATGTTTCTCTCTTCGTAAATTTAAAAATTAAATTTTACATATTAAACCCTTAATATATTAAAAATATTATAATATAATCTTTCGATTAATTTTTTGTTAATTTTTTTGTCCGTGGCAATAATTTAGTTTTTTTGACCTAAAAAGCAGCAAAACTAATAGAAAGATCAAATTATAAAACTTTTGATATATTGAAAATATAATATAAAAAATTTAATTTTTAAAAGTATAAAATAAATATCTATAAATTTTTTAGGATATAAAGTGAAAAAAATCTTTATTAATATTTAAGGTTAAAAAATAACCCACCCCAAAACGTTGTCCCCACTTTGAATATTCTTAAAATTGGGAACTGGAACCATGGGTATGGTAATTGCCGGCAACTTTGAACTTTCTTAAACTGTAAAAATGTTGACGTCTTTGAACCACCCACCTATTAAAAATAAAAAATATTATTGAATTAATTAATAGCAGTTGGACGGCCAATTTTAAAGAACGATGCAAAATAAGAGAGATACATTTTTTATTTTTCAAAGATAAAAAGTAGGAATGACGCATTTTTCTTCCTTTATTTTTGATTGAATGAATGAAAAATAAATATGACTATTTTTTATTTATTTTTTTTCGTGTTCATTAAGATTAAGGGTGATAATTCAGTTGTGTCATATCAGATTCACGTTGAGCCATACAATTATGATTCTTTTATATTTTTTATTCACATGTCAGGTCATTTTTAAGTTCATGTCGAGTTATAATCAAGATCGTGTTATAAAATTTGTGTCGAGTTCAAGTCGTGTTATCATGTTGACTCGAAAGTTTTCATCCCTAGTTTACATGAAAAAAATATTTTTTTTAATTTAATTTTTAATTTTTAAAATTATTTTTAATATATATATATATATATATATATATATATATATACATATTTTATCATTGTATTTTTATATGAAATTAATGTATACATAATATATAGACAAGTAAAATATATTTCAACACAAATAATTAATTTTTCATCCACTTTCCTTCCGATTTTGGAGGGATTAATTTTGGTGAGTTGAAAGGAAAATTAGTTCATCCATTTTTTCATCCTTCCTATTTTTTTTCCTTACTAAACATGATATTTTGTTTATCCCTCCAACTTTCCATCATTCCCACTTTTCATCTTTCTATTTTTTCTTCATACCGAACGGAACATAGTGACAATTTAATAATAAGATTAATTAATTAAATCTAAATAATATTATTATTAAAAAAATTATAACCACCTAAATTCACATACAATATAAATAGTATTTTTATCTTTTCTCAGTTAGGTATATGTATATCCCTTTCTCTTCAACAACATTTAACCACCTAAATTCATTATAATTTGTCTATTTTAGTCCCCCTCAACCTTCAATGTCTCCTATCTCACTTTTGTATAAGTCCCAGAGAGACTCAGTCCTTACTACTACATACTGATTGTTACGTAAAATGGAGTCCTAAAACTAGAGTTTAAGAAAAGCAAGAGAAATGGAGGAACCTCCATTCTCGCAAGAGTATTGGCGTGAACTTCCATATCTCTCCCTATCTCACTCTTGTACAATCAAACACATAATTGTTCAGGAACAAAATGATTCATTACAACCCCACTCGTCCATCCATCCTCATGGTCCAAATACATTGCTATCACCTTATAAAGTTATACATTCCAGTTTCGGAGAAACAAAGCCCCGGCAATGGACTATGAGACAAATTTCCATTTCCTCAAACGTTTGCTTAAGCACAACCCAACATTTCAATGGTATGGTGACGTAATTCGCCAGTAAAAATTACCACTTTGCATAAATATAGAACATACAACCCACAAACCAGGACTAGAGATTAGGTTCTCCATCTCACAAATAGTACTAAACCTCACATCATGTGTCAATGAAAAGAAAAAAAAAACACTCCTAAACAGCACTCCAACCAGATAAAGCCTATATAACACCAAACATTTACTTATCACTAAAAAAATCAAAGCTAGCCATATCATTTACATATTTGAGCTGCAGTCAGACGAGTCACCAGCCATAACAAAAGAACCAATGCAAGTCTATGTTGCTCGCTTCAGCTATTCTGCATTGCGGTGAGGGGAAGATTTTGTTATTGAACTAGATTTTACGAAGATTATCCTGATAGAACTACAAAGCCGAGAAATGAAGATACCTTCATGTTAGCCGATCTTCAAGCAAACCACACTTGTGTTTATAAAGCAAGCAGATTTTTTTTACAATTCCTGGTTAGACCTTGTCTTTTAAACTTTCTGCTCAATCTTCCCGTTTTCATCAGGTTTGAAAGTGCCATTATTTCCAAGCTTCTCATCACTCTCCTGGGACACATCTTCTTCCTGAAGCTGCAGAATTGGAACATCCAGAATTATTGAATCATTTTAAAGGGAAGATTACAAACTATATGAAAATATTGAAAAAATAACATATTTTTACACAGAGAAGAAGCAACCTCTCAGCTAAATTCTCCATTGTTCCCCAGAATGATTGACAGCCAGAAAAGAGGAAAAATCACATTTCACAAATCTGCATCGGTCTAAGTAGTTTCAAAATGATCCATAGCCATTTCCACTAGTCTCCACCCAAATATTCTTCTCTAATAGCATGTCCTAATTTATTTACATAGCATACTATACTTTTGCATTATAGTTTTCCATATTCTCTTCCTTTTGCTTTGAATATGAAGCCCCACTGTCATTACATTCAATCCCACCCATATCTGATGAAGTTATTTATCAGGTAAGGATAAATACAACCACTAGTAAGTAGGTAGGTTTAGACACAGAACCAAAACCAAAGAGACGTCAGATTCTGTCAGGAGACACATCAAATTAGAAGGCACTACCCTTGGAAAATTTTGGGGGGTGAGAGGAGGATATAGGCAATTTACAGCAAATATGTTATCCAGTGTATGTGTAATCTTGAGGCAGTAACACAAAATTAAAAAAGGCAAGTAATCCTCAACTCCCTTGACATTGATGCTAGCACAAGCATTAGAGAACAATTTTTCTTCATAAGCAACACAAAAACACCCTTTCCATATAGCGAAGTAATCTTGGCCAACATGAGAGTCATACAGTGCTCTTGAAACAAACTCATCCATTATACCGCAATATCAAAAGCAAAATAAGAAAGTTCCCAAAAAGCATCCACAACCAATATGAAATAATTTGCTTCCTTGTGCAAGTGAAATAGGAGGGTATGGACTACTTCAAAATTTTAAACTACCTGATTGTCCCCTGTCACTCTTCCACCATGAACTGAGGTTACTTCCCGGACTGTGATGATCTTATCAACATATACAGTTGTCTCCTGGGCACTGCCTGGAGTTTGATCCAATGACATCGCTGCCGGTTCATCCTCAGGTGCATTTGATTGTGTTGATAACGTACTAAAAACAAATAAAGAAGTGAATGAGCTTCTAGAAATGCAGATTGACACAAAAAAAAAAAAAGGTCTTGACAAAATGCATAGTGTCATAACAACATAAATACAACCCTTAATTCAAAACACATGAAGAGTTTAATTGTATAAGAAGATAAAGCTACCAGGGGGTCATGATCTCTTCTGATTGTGTCACTACAACATCTTTTTGTTGCCTTCTTTTCTTAGTACTTTGTGTTTGCTCCAGCAGTGTATCAGCACATCGTTTGAGCCATGACAAAGGAACTGCAAGCGGAGGAGAGGAGATAAGTGAACCTTTCTTAGGAGACAACTCACGTCTAATGACATCATCACCTTCTTTGTGACCTGAATTAAATTCAGCCTGGAGCTTCGAAAATCTTTTTGCAGAAGCCTTTCGTTTAACAGACTGTGGATCACCTTGTTTCATCTCAGGTGCAACAATACGATCAGGGACAACTTTCAAATCCTCCAATTTATTCAACTTCTCAATCTGAGCAAGAATCTCTTCTCTGTCTGCACGCAGCAATTCCCTTTGTTTCTCCAATTTCTGCCTTTGCACCTTAAGTTCTTCTATAGAATTATTTAGCTCTGCCCACTCTTTGTCCCTTTTTTCACGATCCAAATTGATCTCTATTCTCTCACTGTCAAGTCTTTTCATTTCCAAGTTAACTTGTTCCATCTCCTTTGCCACTGTTTCCCTAAGGGACACAATATGTTGAAGTTCTTTCTTCCTTTCTTCCTCAAAATCTCTCTCTCTATCCCTAAGATGGCTTTCTATTTCTTCACGCCTCTTATCAGTGCAGTTCTCAAGCTCCCTTTTCTGCATCCCAATATCCAGTAACACATCTGAACGTTCTTTCTGAATCTTGCTGAACCACTCGGAACGCTCACGCTCCATTTCGCTCATCAAGGCTTCCCGGTCACGAGAAAGTGACTCGACATCATGTTTATATTGATACCGCATTGCATCCTTCTCCAATTTCAGGCTATCACGCTCATCTTTCAGAAACTTAGAAATTGCTAGCCTTTCCTCAGCAACACGCTCCGCTTCCTTTTGTAACTCTTCTCTCTTTTCATCAATCAACTCCCACTCAGTTTCAAACTTGTCCTTCTCTGCCTTCAACTTATCTGCCTCAATTTCCAGTTCCAGGTTTTGGGCTCTAATCATATCAATTTCTTCTTTAAGTCTCTTTTCTAAAACCATTAATTCGTTTGTTTCTTTTCTCATGTCCTTTATTTTCTCTTCTGCATGATCAATTTCTTTCCTTTTGTTTTCCAGTACATCCAAAGATTTTTGAACGTCAATCTTCATGTTGAGGATCTCTTCTTTTTCTTTCAGCAAAAGGGTTTTCTTCACCTCCACGTCATTTTCTGCAGCAGCAAGAGTTCTCTCTTTCCCCTCAAGTAAATCCGATCTCTCCATTAAATCCTTCTCCTTGTCTGCCAATGTGTTTGATTGATTCTCCAACTCATACTCTTTCTCCAATATTAAGTCCTCTCTCTGACTAAGATCCACTTCCCTCAACTCCCAAGCCCTCCTCCTGTTCTCAATTTCCTCTTCCACCAATTTGCGCTTAATTTCCAATTGTGCTTCAAATTCAGACTCCCTAATTTTCAAAGAAGCTTCATGATCAGCCATTACTTGCTGAATTCCATTCTGTATGATTCATCAATAAGCAGGATTAGAAGAGAATCATACAAATAATAAGAAAAACCTGAGATATTTGTATAATTGCAATTATCACAAATTACTGATGCAATGCAAGGACAGATTACGCACAACTGGGATTTAGCATATAAGAAACAAATAATGAAAATAAAAAAATGACTCACAGACTCCTTGCTTGCAAGTTTCTCCTGTTGAATAAGCAGTCCTTCCTCTTTCTTTCTCAGCTCACATTCCCTTTTGATAACAGCCTGGCAAGCAATCAAAATAAAACTGATATAAATCAATTCAGAAATTCACGGTTAATAAGTATTTCAAGGAAAAAATGGGAAGAGAGAGAGAATATGAACCTCCTCTCTTGCTGATAATGAAGTGGCCTCCAGCTCCAGATTTGTTTTTATCTCATTTATGGCTCTAAATTTTTTCTCAATGTTTGCTTTTGATGCCTCCAACTCCTTCTCAACCTGATCTAATTCCTGAGATCTATTGAAAATGTGTTCCTCCCTCTGATTTAGCAATGCTTGCCCATCTAGTAATCTTTCTTGTGATTGCTGCAGAGTTTTTTGCCTTTCAGATAAAGATTGCCTCTCAAGAAGAATCTCTTTCTCTTTTGCATCACAACTATGAGATCACCAAAACAAAGTTCTCAGGATCACATCAGGCCTACTGCATTTCCATATGGAGAATTATTCAAAAGAAAACCAAAGCAACAAATATGATCAAATAGAGAAAATCAAGAATAAGGGAATGTGTAGATACTTTGACCATAGAATTGATCAACCTTCAGCTCTAACACAAAGCATCAAAAGTTCTCAAATGCCTTAAATGCAGCTAAATAAGATTCAAGTTTCATTTTCTATTACACATAGTTTTTTTCTTAGTCAGGCTCACAACATGGTGGCACGAGTAGCACAACAGACAGAACAAAGTGACGAATACATGTATACTAACTAGCGGGCATATGATGATAAAAGTCAAAAGCACTCAGGATGATTTAATGAAGTCAACACAATTACAAAACACTCTGCGTTGAGTGATTTGATTTAGCAAAGAGATTTAGTAAGAGACATACTCAGACTTGAATGAATGAAATTATCTTCCTCCTAAGGTCATCTTCACGCGCTTCAACTTCATGGAGCTTCCTTTCAGCAGCACAGTGGCAGCGGCTTGCTTCTGCTTCCAAAGATTCAGCTGCATGCATCTTCGCTTCAGCCTCGCTGAATTTTTTCTGAGCATCCTCCATCATACTTCGCGTTTCGGTCAATTTACTCTCTGCTGCGACCTTTGCCTCAGCACATTCTGCCCGCATCTCATGCAATGCCTTCTCAATCTATAGAAAAATTCTAAATGAGATACAAATATAAAACAAAACATAAAGGAACCAACATGAATTCCAGTAAGCATACATTGGCAACACATTCTTTCTCGATTCCTAGAGCCTTCTTCAAATTATCTTCCCGTTTCTTTGCTTCAGCTAAAGCAGAAGAGTGTGCAGCCTGCTCGCGCTTATACATTAACTCGGCGGATTCAGCAGCGGCTTTGAGTTGCTCATGCTTGGAAGCCCAATCTTTTCTTTCCAAAATCAGAAGGCCCATGTGATGTTGATGGTCATAGATCTACATGAAATTAAAACCCCAGAGGCACAAACTAAGATATGAAAGCGTATCCAAAAAAAAAAACATAAATCTTATCCAAATGAGGAAACCTGAAGCCTTGATCCAGTAAAGCATTATAAGAGCATCGCAATTACTTTCCAAAATGATTTTATGGTAGACTATTCACATAATAAACAAAACCCATTTCCCGCTTATTTTATCTTCTTCAATTATAAAATAACAAAAGAAAAACTACCAATGAGACCATATCTACCATAAATGAATGATACCATGCACAATTCAAGATTGACCAAAAGTTCTTCTTTTTCCAATATTTGTTTTTCATATCATCCGAGACAACTAAATGGCTTATTGGACCTTGCTATACCTCGTTTTCAGATTAAAAGAATAATAAGCATCTCTGATTATAACATATTAGCCAACCAATTGTCAAGGTACACATGTGCGTATAGATCAAGTCCAAAGATCAAGAAACATAAATTACATACGAGTATACGAATTCGGCTTACCTCAGCTTCGATTTTGGCAATATAAGCGATGAGAGCAGCTTTGTCCCTCCGTTTGATGGACTCTTCGTCAAACCCTGCATCTCGAAGCCGCTTCCACATGGTTTCATCACTGAGTGGAGTTCTCAAAACCCTACCAGAGCCAAGCGTTCTTGGACTCTGAATCATCGCTAGTCGCTCCGATTGAGGAGTCCCCATTCCTTCAACTTGAAATCAAGAAACCCTAGATCCTCTCTGTCTCTCTATCTCGGCTCTCTTTTCCGTTCAAATCGATGAGTGACTTCGTTTTTGTGTTCTTGGACTAGAACTGATCTTACTTTACCAGCGGCGGAGCCCCAGAAGTACTCTGCTTTTTCTATGCCTTTATGCTTTTCTCTCCTACAGCTCCCTCACTCTGTCTCTCTCCCCCGCTCTCTCTCTACAGACTATCTTAGTAAAGACGAAGGAAGTGAAATGGTTTTGAAAAAGGGAACAAAGTTTTTACTGTCGCACGGGACTGGATGAACAATACGACGACGTGTGGTGGTATTCTTTTGTTTAGGGTAAATATTATAATTAGACTCAAAATTTTGCCTCTAATTTCAATTTAGTCTCTTAACTTTCAACTGTACCCATTTAGTCCCTCGACTATCAATTGTATCTCAATTAAGTTCTGATCTAATGGTAAAAATGGACTAGATGACTTAATTGAAATGAAATTGATAATTACATGATTAAATTAAGATAATTGAAAATTTTAAGGCCAAATTAAAATAAAAAATAAAGTGCAAGGACCAAGTATGCAATTTACTCTTTTGTTTAAGGAAATAGAATCGGATTTAGTATTTTCACGCCGCCATTACCTTGATTAAATACTAAATTTGAAATTTGAATGGTCAAGCTGTGAACACAGAACTAATTAAATTGAGCGTGGGACCATGTGAGACTCCGTGGAACAAATATGAAAAGGGTGTGAATGGGCCGGTTCAATAGCACACATTCTGAAGACCAATCAAAAGAATCGGACAGTAGGCCCAAGAGAAAAAATTGGGTAAGGATACACTTTTTAGGTCTTATTTCGATATAAGTTTTCACTTTTAACATGTAAGCATCTAAGTCTAATATGGTTGAAGATCGAAGAGAATTCCATTTGAAAATCAAAGTGAACTCTGTGTTTAAGAGCGGTGGAAAAAGGTTCACGTGATTCAATGAGATATTTTTTTGGGTTTTCATAATTGGTTTTTGATGTTTTGGTGAGTGTAGTCGTCCGGGCCGGCCCAACAATATAGAAGAAAAAATATGTAAGGCCCCAAATTTTTAAAATGTTTCATAAATTTAGGTATATTATTAGCCTACAAAAAAAATTAAATTTATTAAATTTTAAGTCTTACAAAAAAATAAATTCAATTAAAATTTTAATTACAATAATTTGGACATATAATCTAATCCATAATATTAAAAACTTAGAAATTAAAATAGAAAAATTTAGAGGCCGATCCTCCTATATGGACTTGTTTGGATTTAAGTCCGTCAAGAAAACTTATTTGTTATGAAGTCCGTTTTTTGTCAATTTTACCATACTATCCATTTCCCTTAGAAGTGAAATAAAACTAAAAATTAAAAACTATTAAATCTTAGGAGTTTGACTAACATTAAAATATTTTCTCTCTCATATATATCTATATCCGTATATAGGTTAAAAGAAATTTTTTTAATATTAATCAAACTCTTAACCTATATATGGATATAGATAGATATAGGAGAGGAAAAATTTTAATGTTAATCAAACTCTTGACCTATATATGGATATAGATAGATATGAGAGAGAAAAGATTAACTTCCTTTCAAGCAAGGGTATTTTTGAGATTAAAAAAAAAATGGACTTAAATCATTACATATAATTTTAAATGTGAATTTAGTCTCTTATAAGTTTCCTTGCAGGACTTATCTTCAAACAAGTATATCTAGGGAAACTCACTTACAATTTTTACAATAAAAAATACACAAAAATCAATTCATATTTACTCTCACTCATTCTCTCTCACTCTTCTGTAAAAAAAATTAAAAAAATAAAAGTTGAAATTAAACACTCTCTCCATCTTTATGATAAAAAAACAAAAACAAAAGTTGAAATCTTTTTCTTGACAATATTAACACATCTTTTTTTTGTCTCCCTCTTACAAAGAAAATTAAAAATAAATTAATTTTTTTAAAAAAATAAGACTAAAAATAAAAAAATCTCAATTTAATGTTTTCGTTTTATGTCTTAAATTGACTTGAGCCGCCCCTGGTTATCAAAAGGAATTACAGTCATTTTCATTCAAAGTGAACTTTTATGCAGGTTCTTTTTTTAAATGCACTTTTATTCTAACTAGTTGATGCACACGTGCGTTGCACGTAGACCATTTTGAGTGTATCTTTCATAGTAGTGATTTTTGTAAACTTGTTTGAGCATTGGACTCTTCTGACGCTTTATAGCTCATATATACATTGGATCATCTGGTTGTGGACCATTGAAACCACCCTGGCTCACGTGTCCAGTATATACCATTGACAGTCCTTAATCATGTAGCTAATAAGACATTTCGATGATCAAACTAAAAAGTCATGGGATTAGATTATGAGTGCAATCACAAATGATGAATAAAAGCTCAGACAAAGTCAATTCATTACTATTCAAGTTATAATCAAATGGTCTAAATTTGGGTTATTTGTAATCACAAAAGCATGGAATTGGCATGTGACATCTGGAGTATTCATAAGATAAGCCTCATGGCAGTCATCTTACTATTGCAACAGAACAATATTGTTTTAAAGTTGACACTAACAATGATTGTATCCATTCATTTGAAGCAATCTACTTGAGCCATTAAGCATATTTGCCAAATAAGAAAATTTATTTTTGATTGTTAGTTTCCATAGTAAGGTGGCAAACTTCTCATCAACTAAACTACAAACAAGAATTATTTTGAATGTGAATTTTTAATAACATTCAGAAGTGGTGTTTGCACAATGTTTATAGTAACAAGAAGTGTATAAGCTTACCATAGTTGGCTGTAGAAATTTAATCGACGCTCTTTCTCAGCACTACGACTTGCTTCCCTTGCTACAAGCTTCAGATCTCTGCCTTGAGATTCAATCAAAGTATTGATAAATTCCACTGGTGATTGGCTGAATCCAAGAAAGAATGCCTATCTCCTGCGATGCTCATGGATCTTCCTTATGGCAGTGCAAATGTCTTCATCACAAGCATCAATCTCTATGGTTTTCTCTGTGTCAGCGAGCAAAGCATTGAATTCCTTCTGTATAGGGAAGGGCACATCCACCAAGATATCATAGCATGCAGTTCCAGCAGGACTACTCCCTGAAAGCTTGATCTTGTGGTCCAAGTGAATGGGTTGCGATGGAGATAGATGATGTGATATCTTCTATGACACCATAGTGAATTTTATCTTTCCTTGTCCAAATATTTTCTGAAGTGGTGGATCGCAATTAAAATACGAAGGGTCGTCTGTGTTCTGCAATTTCCTAGCCTTGACATAATGCCAGATTGCAACTATGATTCTAGGGCTGGTATCAACTTCAATACCAAGAACTTCCATCAAAGGTCCTGAAATTTTTTATTTTTCGGGCAAATAAATCATTCAAGCCATATAGTTGCAGTAAACTCCCTCTAACAGCATCCATGTAAGAGGGGTTTTGTGTTCCAGTCATAGGGTCAGGTGACCTCTAACAGTCCGATATGAGTGACGTCGATATGTAGGTGACAACTGCAAAACAAAGCAAAGCAACTGGTCAGGCAATCCAACCCAGTTGTGCAGTGCTTGATGCGAGAAAGAGAGGACACCAGCTCCAATCATGGCAGTGATGATATGACCAAAACTGGTCCAGACGGTTCCTGGTGAAGAAATATTAACAGATTAGGGCCATTATTTTTATTATTGAATTTACAAGTAGAATTAAAAAAACAGAACAGAGGAATTGATGGTATTATTCATTTGCATGACAAAAGAAAGCATGGTATTAAACGAACACATGGAAAGGTTATAGGTACATATTCATTTTAGACAGTGAGAATATGTTCGTTTTACGTACATTCAACTTGTCAATAAATTTAGACAGAACCATGGCTATAAGTATAGCTGGATTAGCTCATCACTTACTACTGATAGTGTTAGGACGCCCAGATCTGTAAAGAGTAGGGTAAGATATTGTGGAGGTGTATATTCCTGAGCTGATGTTTCAACTTCGACCTTCAATGGGATGGGTACCCCAAAATCGATTGGGCGCAAGGCAGGGACCATGTCTTTTTGGTCCAATGGATAGAGACGAGCAAACTGAAACACCGACGAACATCAATTTATGATCTCAGTGAAAATTAATTAATAAAAGTACAATATCTACTATAATCCAATTTTAAGTGTGTCTTAGTCAAACTGTTTGTCCAAGCTGGGCACAGCAAAAGCAATTCAATCAGGCTCCTCGAGATTTGTTTTCACATACCTTATAACTTTTAGCAGCCACATAAACCAGTCTGTTCTTGCTTTTAGCCACCAATGCTATTTGATAAGTCCCCATCATGTTAATTATACCTCCGCTTTCCACCACTCCATCCGCCCAACAAATATCATGTCTACTTCATCCATATTATATGCCACAGCAGAGTCTATTAAGAGCTTCACAAGAACATCAAGCTTTGCTAGCTCATTGGACAATCGTAATCCTGTCCTGTCTGGCCTTCCCTCTGCAGTTTACAGCATGCAATTTTGAACTTCATGGTAACACATTGGCCATTTTTGACTAATTGAAAGAAGAAGAATATAGGCAACATAGAACTGTCACTCTGTGCGATTCTGACAGTTGCTATCGTTTCTGTATAGAGTATGAAGACAAATAATACTGATGAAGAAGTCACACTCAGACCTAAATGAGAATGTCATCAAATTATAGAACCATCGCCAATGGATGGCAACACCACAACTCATTGTTAAAACTGTCAAATGCTATGGATTGTCAAGAAAATAGAATGTATGAGCACCCGTTGGTATTGACGATCCATAAAGAAGTACTGATTGATGTCTCAAAATTCATTGAGGAACCAATTTGTTTGAAGTTTAGTCATTTTTAATACTTAATAGTAAAGCAAAAATGCACATTATTTGAAAAACCATAATTCATTTATGTACAACCTATAATTGTATGGAATATGACTTACAAGTATATATGTTTTCATTGTACTAATCAACTTGTGGCATAACAAATGTTGATTTAAAAAGAAATGTGAGATTTTGATTCTTTTAGCACATACTACATAGCAATGTTCTATCTCTATTATAGTTTCTAATTTAGCTATAAGAATCATTTGTTTGGTAGTGATTACTAATACTAACTCAGACGAAACTTATCCCATATAAAATGTTAGTCTGCCATACATTCAACTTTTGATTGTATGGTTGAATCCGAATATAAGAAAGGGGATATTTAATGGCACTATAATATATTCAAAGATTAAAAAACAAATTTCATCCAGATAGTTCTTCCACATGGAATATGTTGGCCTATTACAGATCTTTGTAATGCAGTATTAGAATTTTATGATTACAACGTGTCATATTATGTTTAGAATGAGTGATTATTTTATGCATATGTTAAATTTATTTATTTTTGGTTTATCAGGAAAATAAAGGTGTATGTTGGGCGGGGTTGGACTTCACATAATTTTTTGGCCTATTTTTACCAACAAACAATACTGAGAAAAAAAAAAAAAAAAAAAAAAAGACATTGAATGTTGTGTTTTTCCTATTCCAGAACAAATAGCTATATCTTAAAAAGAGTAAAGCTACCACCGAGCGTTAGATCAGTTGGTGAGGGACTGTTCTATCTTAACCAAGGTCTCGAGTTCGAGTCTTGGGAACGCAGCTGCGTTCGGTAGGGAGAGCTTTGTCGCCCCTGTGGTCCTACCCGGCTCGAATCTGGATTAGTTGGAGCCCAAAATGACTTTCGGATACCGGATGGTCTGACCCAAAAAATAGAGTAAAGCTTGTTTTTTCCCTAACTATGGATTAATAACTGAAAGAAAACTACGCATACATCTATCTTGGAGGGAAGGCCCAAAAGAAAGGCTCAAATCTCTAGTCCATAAAATCCAAAACCAAGTGATCACTTACTTGTTCATGGAACTGAAATTGACTCACTCCAGTAAGAGATAATCAAATGCAAACACTGGGATGCTGAACACAAAGCTGTGCATAAAACTAGAGAGAAACCATGCACCAAAATGGTACAACTGTCAAAAATAAAATCTTGACCAAGCATGGCAATGATTTTGCGAGCTGCAATACAGACTTGGTCAATAGCTTTTCATGGTAATACGACATTTAGAACGGTTGATTAGTGCAAATTGACACATTACTGAAACAGTGAGCTGATACAGCCATAATCAGCTTGTTACCTTATAAGATATCTCCCCACATTTCTCTGAACGTTCAAGAAAGCGAGACTTAGCCAAATTAAAGTCCTCATATTCCAGAGCTGAAGTTCTTGTTACGTAGTGCATGAACAGATCGCAGCCAGCTGCCAAAGAGATGGAGGTTGTGTCCCATGACTGCAATACACATGGGTAAGATTCAAAGCCTTGGTCCTTGTTTTGGTAGATTATTAATAAGAATAAATTGCCGCAACTGTAAGTCATAATCATCATCTATAACTTGTGTAAAAAATTTGGCTTTGTTCCATACTCCAATCATTGCTACCCCCGCTGCTTGTTGAAGGATTCCCTGATTGACATTACTAAACATCTTCCTTTATACACTTATTGCCGAATAAAAAATTCCAAATTACAATCAAATTGGTCACCACATTAAATAAAAATAAGACACGCAGCCAAATGCTATACGAAATGACAAATTGAAGTATTGTCCATGTCATGCAAAGTTATGAACAAGGAATTCTTTGAATAGTTCAACTCGCCACCTCTGGGCAGCAACCACACACAAGTAAGGTTTTTAAAGCAAGAATCAATCACTCTGGCTAATATCTACGACAAAAACAATTATTTTATAATGCTATCAAATCTTTTCAATAACTGAAATCAAGTACACTTCAAATTTCTTGTGGTCCTTGTTGAACAAAATCACTTACTTCTTATTCATTCCAATGTTTAAACAGAGTGACTGGTCTGCAATATCTGATATATTCGTTTAACTTGTTGGCATTTGGATTCATTATATAGGCTACGTTCTGTAAATAAGCAATTTCGAATTCAAGCCAGAATGACAATCAGCACTACAAGAGAATGAATTTGCAGGAATACATAGGAATAGTATTCAGTTCAATTAAAAAGACAGTTCAAAATTATACAAACTAAGAGAAATGCTTTTGTTGTGTGCAATTCATTCAACGATATGAATACCTAACGATATAAAATGTACGAAAAGCGAATACAAACAGATTTAACCATTTTACGATGGCTAATTAGAAAAGGCACATACTTTGACGGAATCGGAAGCTTTCTTGAGCTCCATCATCGTAGTGGCCTCGCTGGATCGAATAACCCAAGCCAAATCCCTAATTGCTGCCACCGCTTCCGCCAATGTTGTGCTGTTTTTTGTTTGAGGGAGAGAGTGTAACGGCTATGTGAATGTGATAGAGGAAATAGGGAGAAAAAGAGAGAAGACAGAGAGAGAGAAAATAGGAAGAGAGTGACATGGGAAAAGCGGGAGACAGGTTAACGCCTGGGAAGCAGAGGACATGGATGACATAATAAAATATTAGAGGATAAAATTAGTAATAAAATATTTTTCATATATAATAACTTTTTAAAATAGTATAGATAAGTCTTATAAAATATACCAGTTTCTAAAGTACCCAAAATTTAAACAAGGGCATTAGGGAGCTGGTTGAATGGGTTTTTTTTTTTTTTTTTTTTTTGGGAGATTAGATTACATTTATGATGGAACTTTTCTGAAATACTCCATGATGAAGATACGTGTCCTCGGTATTTATCAAAACACTGTTACTAAGATTAAGCACCATCGGCGCATAAAGGTCCTCGCCCCCGAGGTACTCGTCATATAGGATCATGGCATTTTCAGTACGAGTTACAACCAACACGTAACCTCGGTCTGATATGGTACCTCGGTCGGTATATCTCCCTCGGTTCCGAGATGAGCCTTTCCTCGGTGCCGAGAGGTACCCCGTCCTGGACGCTTCCTCTACTCCAGGATAAGCTATTGACGTACAGGTCATTAGCCTAGGCTAGTCTAGACTATTCATCATGACCTCGTCTTACACAATTAATGTCAGAACGTACTGGAATACATGGGCCACAGCCAATGGGGGATGGACGCGTGGCGTATGATATCACATCGAAGACAGAGAAATCGCATGCCGTTGCTGACACGCGATTTGGGAAAGCAAACGATTAATTACACAATTCCCTTGATGAGACCGCATTCAATGCGGTAAGGCTCGGAAATGAAAGAGCATTTATTGCATCCTCCCCGAGAGGAGTACATTGTACCGTCGGCATCCCGATGACGCAGCATTGATTGCTCGGGGCCCCGAGCAGTTAAGAAGAGAAGACATTCCTCATCAGAATCAGTGCGCACACTGCCTGTACCTAATGATCACCTACTGACTACACTGACAGCAATCATGAGCTTTTGAGGTATAAATACTCTTTGCAAAAGGCAAGATCGGTATGCAACAAAAAACCCTTTACTGTAACACACACTCAGTGTTTTCTCCTTCCTCTCTCTTTCTCAAAGACTGACTAGATCGTCGGAGGGGATACGCCAAAAAACACTCCGGCGCCCTTTTAACTTGTTCTTCTTTGTTCCAGGAACCTCTTTCAGCCTTACTGGATCGTTCTTCCGCTCCCCCAGGGTCTCCCGTTGCCGTTCCAAGTTACCACCGGACCTCGCAGGCTGTTCCAAACAGCATGGTTGGTCACTCAACTGGCTCACTCGAGTTCACCAAGGGAGAGATCTGTTCTCGTTTTTTATATTGTGCAGGATCTTGCACGCACAATTTACGAAACAGTTTGTATGCTAATATAATTCAATATATATATATATATATATATATATATATATATATATTTATATTACCGGTTATATAGGGACCAGCCAAACCAGTTGAGTTGTCGAAAATGTTCTCGACCATGCTGGCCTACAACTTGATTGGGCCAAAATATCTAGTATGAACCCATTTTATAGGAAAATGTTCAAGTCCAAGCCTTGATTTTATGGACTGGACTTTGGATTGGCCGCCAAGCCCATGGCCACCCCAATCTTGATGGCATCCAACCCCACCTCAAACGATGTGGTTGCAAGCAAATTTATACATAACACCCACGAAGTCCCACCTTTACTATTAGTCTAAAGATACTAATTAATGATTAACTAAATTTCGGGCCCATTAAGAGTCAAATGTTGTCTCTTCCCTCTCTTTTTTATGCCTAGATTGGGTAGCTTATCGGCCATGATAAGATGGATTACTATATAAACTATAGACCCCCTATCTTGACCTCGGGTTAAAAGCGATGGATAACTTGGTTCCTATAGAGAGTGGTGAACAAGAAATTATAATCGGAGATTGACAAATTAAAAGAAATGGTTATTGCTATCGATATCATATTAAACCAAAAACAAATAAACTAAAGGGCATCTCCGAGAGTGAGATATTGTATTGTGTCTATGCAGTGGTTTTGGCCTCGATTATTTATGATAAGTATTTAACATTGAAAAAATAATAATTTAGTACCATTCTTTTAAATGATTTTGGGTCTTAGATTTTGCTTTAATTTTGTGACTATAGCTGTGGAAATAATAAATAAAATAAATAATTTTATATCTAGCATGTTTTTATAGTTGATCAGTACTATAGTGGTTGCACTCTGAAATTAATTATTATTTAATGGATTATTGTGCGATGCTGCAACATGCTATTGTGCTCGTCAAAGATCGGTCGCACTAGGAGTGTGGCCCGGCCAATCCCATTTGTGCAAGACCCTTCAAATGGTTGGACCCTGGGGAGGAGGGACCCATTCACCATTAATTTGTGCCACAATTTGAGCCGGCATGCCTTCAACTGTATTTTCCCCATTCCCCTAACTACCAAGTCAAATTTGGCTATGCTCCCTCCTACTTGTACCCTTCCTAGTTGCTTCCTCTGGGGCCTCCCACATGCTCTTTCGCTCTCCCTCTAGATGATTCAAAGTCGGTAGCGTGAAAAAGGACCATATTATATTCCCTGTTTATTTTGTATTATATCGTGCCAAAAATTGAATTGTACTTAACCCTCTTAAAAATGTCTATAGATAGGTGCGTACATAGCATATTTAATTGAGTTTGTATCAATTTATTTATTTTAGGGATACGAAAAGCGGGTCTCAAACTCACTAATTGAGCTAAGGCAATAATTATAACTCATTGTAATCCAAATTCTACGAGAAAATTGAAGGTATATAATTTCAGGTAAAAAAAAAAAATTGCACCCACACAATTAACTTTCTAGTTCATTAAAGTTAAATATGAATTTTCTAATTGGGTATTAATTTTTTGTTAAACTTTCAAATCATATTTAAAATTACCGTGCTAAAAATCTGTTTTGTTTTTTGGTTCAACGATCAAGCATATTCGGACTAATTTACATGCAGTTCGACTAATTCTCTCTCTGACTAGTTAAAAATAGATTATCCATGTCAGGACTAGAGTATTTATGAAAGATAAATTCCTTGTATCTTGAATATAAAAAATTATTAAAATTTAAATTTCAAACGTCTAAAAATATAATTTAGATCTATTATTACTTAAACTATTCTTGACGGCAAGAAATCAGTTACCAGGTGGGGGTGGGGTGGGGTTTGGGGGGCCCACTTTTCTCTACTTTTAGACGCAAGCAATGATGCTTCTATTTGAAAGCCTCATCCAAGAAAAAGTCTCACAAAGAACACGAAGAAAGAGGGTGAGAGTGGGCCAAAGGTAAAGCTTTAATATGCTTTAATGAAAGTCGGTGCATATGATGATGCTTCCCCTCTTGCAAAAATCAAACCAGATATATCTTTCTCTGACTTGGACGATTGTCTTATAGTCACTGCCAAACCATTCTCTTCCAACATATATTATTCTCATCTCTCTCTCTCTCTCTCTCTCTCTCTCTCTCTCTCTCTCTCTCTCTCTCTCTCTCATCATCAACTTTCTCTTATCAACTAGAGAACAAACTGTTTTCTTATATTCTTTATACACCCCTTTTACATTATTGTACGAGCACTTTATTTTCTTTTCTTTTTCTTTTCCCTTTTTTCCTTTTCACTGGTGAATTGTTTTTGTTTTTGAATAAAAACTGGTTTATTTTATTTTCCTTTATACGACGGTGAGAAGATGCTGATGCATATGTCCCTGCGTTGCACAAAAGACAACTTTAGAAAATGTTTGAGAAATACAAGGGGGCATCTCATTAAATATCAAGTGGATGTTTTTTGTTTAGAGATATGAATTAAGCGCAAAGCTTTGGTCCAAATACATAAGATATGATACATATTTGATGGGATACTTCTAGAAGAGTGTTAGATCAATGACACGTGTTCTCGGCGCTGAGAGACTTTTCTTGCCTCTGTCGAGGCCACGTGTCCTCGGCCCTAAGACCCCCTGTTCTGATTGGTATGTTCATTGCCTCCGAGGCGTGTTTCCTCGACTCTGAGATACCCCCACACCGGGGGCGAGCCAATTGTCCTCGGTCCCAAGGGTATTCACACTTTGATCCCTCAAATACCAGTTTTCGATTTCTGGGAAGGCTAGTTACTGACAATTGAATAACTTAAGTTAGACTAGGAACTATGATGACACTCTGCTCAATGGAGTCAGAATGACAAAATAAACTGAACACTCAACCAGATGGAATCAGACGCATGACATAAAGTACAGGATAAAGGGTAAAAAAATAGACCTATCTCTGCTGATATGCGATTACTCTAGGCAAACATTTAATAAATCCTCAAATGATGTGACATTTATAGTGACTTGAGAAACTGAGGATAGAGAGTATTAAATGTCCTGGACTCTTGCATTTAAAGTCTTTACATTGAAAAAAGAGTATTAATTGCTCAAGAGCTCGAGCAATTAATACTAGGACATTTCTCACACAAAATAGGAGGCACACTATCCCATCTCTGAAGGCTACCTACTGCTTAGACTTCCAGCATTGATGAGTCTTTGAAGATATAAATAGTCTTCAAAAATACATTGCAAAGATACGTAAAATCATTCCTTAAGAGCCATATAGTGTTTTCTTCTTTCTCTTTCTCAAAAAATTGACTTGATCGTCTAAGGGATACATCGAAAAATACTCTGGTGTCCTTCTAATTTGTTTTCTGTATTCCAGGGAACCCCTTACAGCTCACCGGAACCGGTCAAACAATTCCTGAAATAATTCATCACCACTTCTTAGGCCTCTCTGGCCATATATTCTCTTCCTTTGTCTTGGGATCATCGACTTTCTAGACGAATACGAGTTCAACGCGGGA